TAATAATAATAATAGTGGGGCCGGGGAGATGGCTCAGTAGAATAAGTGCTTGCCTGGCAAGCGCAAGAATCTGAGTTCAAACCCTGGTTCCACACACACATACACACACACACACACACACAAATAATAATAATAGTAATAATAATGTGATGTAGTTGTTTTGTTTTGTTTTGTTTTGTTTGATATAGGATCTCACTATATAGTTCAGACTGGCCTTGAACTCACAGCGTAGCCCAGGTTGGCTCACACTGGTGGTGATCCTCCTGCCTCAGCTCCCAAAAACTCAGGCTATAGGCTTGTGGTGCATCGTGGCTGCTATTGAGGCGATAAAGACTGTGTTCAAATTTGTGGGGGTTTTGGTACCAGGGTTCAAACTAATGACCTTGTGCTTGCCAGTCAGGTGCTTAAGCTGCTGAGCTATCCCCTGGTCCCCTGGGTGTGTTTTTCAAAGGCATACGTGTGAGGTTTGATGGGATCATGTCCAGAGGGGTGAAGAGATTGGAAAGCTAATCATGGCAGCATTTGTGAAGCCAAACTAGTGAGGTAAAAATTTCAGATCTGTCACACTGGCTGCTAGGTCAGTGACCTCCTTTGTCCTGGTAGTTGTCCAGTAGTAATCTCAGAGACACGTCTCCTCTCACCTTTTGTTCCTGAAAAGTTTCCTGCTGTTGTTTATGTCCTCTCAGACTGTAAACTCCTTAGGGGCCAGAGACCAGATATGGACTATGACCTTCCCAGAGCCCAGGACAGCCAGCGATGGGGAGCCAACTGTGGCAAAGAGCATACAGGAAGGACCTTCAGGGTGCACACCAGGTTAATGGGGTTGCTATCTGGGGACCTTCTAAACAGGTCTGAAGCTTCTCACTGGAGTGAGAATGTGTCTGCACACTTCATCCTTCAGTTTGATACAGGGGAATGAAACTCCCAACCTGAAAGGTGCCTGGAAAGAGTTTGTGTTCTCTAAAAGCAAAGAATAATTTTTAAGAACAAACGGAGGTTAAGAGCAGAATATTTATTGGGGGTAAGAAAGCTTTTGTCTGAGAGAGGGACAGAAGGGGGATCCAACTGGGTTATCCAGGAAAGTGTCTCTTCCAGTTAGTTATTTTTTTGGCAGAACTGAGGATTGAACTCAGACCCTTGCACTTGCCAGGCAAGCACTTATTCTACTGAGCTATCTCCCCAGCCCTTTTCCAGTTATTTTTATAGAGCAAAACCATGCAGGAAGGGGGCCTGGGAGATGGCTCAGTAGAGTAAGGGCTTCCCTGGCAAGCACAAGGACCTGAGTTCAATCCCCGGTTCCACAAAAAAAAAAAAAAAAAAAAAAAACCACCATGCAGGTCTAAGGTGGAGACAATGGGAACTCGCTTAGGTGGGCAGGAGGTGGGACAAAACTACGGTCAACCAATGAGATTACAAGCACCACAGGTCAGGTAAAATTGATTAAATCCAGGACCCAATGGGGAAGTGAGTCATACATAGCAAGTGGGCATGAATATAAAACAAAGACTTTATCTGGTAGCCCTTAGCGGTTACATTTCTTCCCTGCTTCCTCAAAGTGATGATCAATCACGGATGCTTAGGGGAAGTAAGCATTTGTTTGATCTTTGGTCTTTAGGTCTGCCCCCCTTAAAGTTGTAAGGCATCTTGTCTTCTGTGTCATTCCTTCGAGGGCCTAGCTGTCTGGATGCCTATATTTCTATCTAACTCGGCTGCCTGCGAGTTGATGCAGGTGCGTGTAAGGGGACGTCTGATACTGGGCCTGGTGAGGTGAGGGGGATCTGTCTCCCTCCTGGCAGGTGTGAGGCAAGAGTGGAAACATCTGAGATAGGCTAGGAAGTGTGTGTCTAGGCAGGTTTGTTCCAAACCACCCTGCTCCTACCGCCAGGGGCCAGGAGGGAGGGCCTACAAATTCCTCTCCTGCCAGGGCGCACCTTCCTCCTCTTGCACCCCACTTTCCACCCCAAAGCAGCCCATACTTCAAGCCCTTTCTAGTGTCCGAGCCAGCAGCATACCGGGCCGCCTTTCCTGACCACCACCCCCCCCACCCCCCCGCCCCAGGTCCACTCCAGGCCAACACCCATCCTCCCACTTTGGGCCTCTCCCCAGACTAGGCCCCGAAGGCGGGGAGCTGAGCTCAGGGCCAAATAATGAATCTGCCTGGAAGCGCGAGGGGGTGGGGGGGCTCTTTGGGGTCTGGGCTACGATTGGCTGCGCCTGGGCCACGCCCCTACCTTCTCCCCTTCTTCCCCCTCCGAAGGGGGGCGTGGAGGGAGCCGGGATCAGCCAGGGGCCAGCATGAGCCTGAGGGAGGGCAGTCTGGGTAAGGGGCTGAGGGACTGGACGCTGGGTCCTTGAGGGGAGTAGGAGTCAGAAGGGGTGACAGCTGGGGACTGTGTCTCCGCCATCCAGGGTCCGGGAGAGGTGTGGCGGGGGGGGGGGGGGGGGGGACAGGCTCCGGTGTCAGGTAACGAGCGGGTGAGTTGGAAGACGGGCAGGCACAAGGGCTTGGGGGCAGGCCTGGGGCTGAGGCTTCAGAGGTCTGAGTTGGAGGGTTAGATCTCAGATCAAAGCGGTGAGTACACCCTAAGGGAGAGCTGGAGTCCGAGCTGGGGCAGCCAGGGGCCTCTCCGAGATTTGGGAAAGACTCAAGTGCTGTGGAGCCGGAAGGAGAAGTAGAGTTAGGGAAGGAAGTCTTTGAGCTTCAGGAGCTATCAATGAGGGACAACAGGAGACAACAGTCCCAGGCTGCTAAGGATCGATACTGGCGGTGGAAACTCGGGCGGAGGCGGAGCGGGAGTCCCCGGGTCAGGACTACACTTCCCAAGAGGCATAAGGTGGACGCCTGGTGCATGCTGGGCAATGTAGTTCTGGGCCACCACGCTCGGGCCTGTGCGGGGGGGAGGGGGGGAAGGCTGGAAGCTGATTCACCGATGTCCAGACCTGCGTTTTGTGTACAAGGAGCATGAGGCAGGATTGGGGCTTCCATCAAACGGGCTTTAAGGCATATCCAATATGAAGTTCTGTGCTTCAGTGATGATGCCGAATTTACCAACAGTCACATGAGTAAATGTAAGCCCTATTCTCAAGGGCATCCCAGGCCACAGCAGATACACAAGAGGTAAAAGGGCTACTTTGGAAATATGAACAAATGGCCTTAAGTTAAAGAAAAAAGTTCATTTCTGGGAAGAGAGAATCTGGTTGCTGCACTAAGGAAGCAGAATTTGAACTTGGCTTTCATAGGATTTCAACAGTGACACAAAGACAGGTAATATGTTTCACACAGAGCAACAGCGTGACAATGATATGCTACCTCGTTCTCCCTGAGTTAGAACGGAACAGATTCTTCTGAACACTGGAGAAGCCAGAGCAGAGCTTCAGGTTCAGGAAGGAAGAACCCCCTCCTGTCTCCCCCCATCCCCCAAGAAGAGGTCAAGGAGCAAGGGTTCTTGGGCTGCCCTCATTCTTACCCCCCTTTCCCACCAGAAGACCCCCAGGCTGACTCCTCAGTCTCATTCCTTCCCCACTTGGAGGCCAAGATCCGTCAGACCCACAGCCTTGCCCGCCTCCTCTCCAAATATGCTGAGCAGCTGCTCCAGGAATATGTGAGTGGGAATGGGGGTTGGGGTGCCACGGGGCTGGGGAATGGGGAACACAGGTCACAGAGGTCCTCCAGCACCCATGTCCTTAATCTCATCCCCAGATGTGAAAAATCAAGGCTTTGGAGAGGGGCTCCTGGCCACAGCAAGTTGGAGGAGGACCCTATCTGTGCCCCATAAATAATCTACCTGCCTCATCTTGGAAGCTCCCTCCTTGGTAGTTAAAATCAGTAACAGCCCGAGAGAACAAAAGAGAACTCTGGTCTAGGAGTGAGGAAATTTGAGATTTAGGTTCCATGTGATTATTTATCAGGGAAGCTGAGGAGTTTCAACCTGGGGCTAAATGTGTGTCCCACAGGGGACTTTTAGAGAAAAGAGGGAGGGATCTGCCAATATCCTTGCCCCCTAAAAGATACTTTGCTAAGCATCTTGATGTGTTGGGAGGAGGTTGTAGTTTTGTATTAGACGTAAGACTTTGGCCAGGCATGGGTTAATAGAACTAGTTTTGTAGTCTTACAAAATTTGGTTCAAATTCCAGCTCCTCTACTTCCTCGTTGGCTGACCTAGGGCAAGTCACTGTCTTCAGCCCCGTTTTCTCACCTAGGAAGCCTTCAGCATCACAATCATCCCACTCATCACTGGTGAAATGCTGTGTTTAAAGGAACAAACATAATGCCTGATCCAGCGCCAGGATGTTTACAAAGGAAAATGTTATTAGTTCATTTGACAAATTGCAAATTACTCTTTTCTTTCATTTGTTTATTCAAATGACAATTAATGACGCATTGTCTCGAGGCTCAATACATGTACAAAGGCCAGGAAGGTAGCCCGGAGCACAGTGACTGCCTGGCAAGCATGAGGTCCTGAGTTTGATTCCCGGTACAAAAAACAAAAACAAAAATACCTGTACAAAGGTTGGGGAGGATGTGAAGAGGAGTGAAGTCACATGGATCCCTCCACCCCTTCCATGCTTTCCAAGAGACCCTGGTAGAAAGCATAGGGAGCGGGTCCCTCATCCTACAGCTAAGAAGATCGTGGCTCCTGAACACTTTCGCCGGAAATGGCGCAACTAGTAAGTGGCTGAGAGACGATCTGAACCTGGTCTGTAAGATAACATTAATAAAAAAGCTAAGCTGGAAAGAAAAAAAAAAGCTAAGCTGGTTACAGGCCTAGTGGCGCATGCCTGTAATCCTAGCCCTCAGGGAGGCTGAGGCAGGAGCATCTTTGCAAGTTCGAGAGCAGCCTGGGATACATACAAAGTGAGCTCAAGGCCAGCCTGAACTGCATAGCCAGACCCTGTCTCAGAAAACACACACACAAAAAGCTAATGTTTGTCGAACCCTTCCTAGGGCCAGGCTCTGTCTTAAGCACTTCACACGCTCACACCTACCTTAGGAAACGGACACTGTTCTTGGTCCCACATTAGAGAATGGAAACAAAGACATAGGTGTAAAGCACGCCTTGCCCGCCTGGTAGTGTAAGGGTCGAGTCACTGCAAGGGAAGGCCCCAAGAGTCAATCTCTCATGTAAGTCACAAAGGGCAAGCTTTATTATCCATGTGCACGCAGGGCGGTCTGAACACGCAGGAACAGAGGGCGCTTTAAGCATGGTGGGTTTAGTTTTTAAAGGCAAAAACTACAAAAGGGGGAGGGAGCAAGCGGTATACAGAAGCAGATTGCATTGGTTAGTTTTAGGATGACCTTTAAAATAATTGGTGGGTTTAAGAATATACAACTTTTTACATTTATTTATTTATTTATTGTGTGTGTGTGTGTGTGTGTGTGTGGCCAGCTCAGCACACCAGGGGGTGGGGCTGGCTGGCATATGATGCTGGGGGATCGAACTGCAGTCCCTGTGCTTTGCTAAGCTTGTTTCAAGTAGGTGCTTTAGACCACTGAGCCATCTCGCCAGCCCCAAGAATATACAACTTTTTAAGGAAACTAAGAAGGGGGTAGGTAAAGGGTAACTTTGAGCTAATTCTGTGGTTCAGGTGGTATTTCGAGAACGGGTAGGTTTAACTGAACATTGTAACCTATTTCACAAGAAAGTCCTAAGCCTGGAGGCAATGTTCTTTTAAGTTCGGCCTGAGGTTTTACAACTCCATCTGGGGTTTCTGGAGCATGGGTTACTCAAGTCCTACAGCCATAAACCGGTGGGTGGTCTTCTTCTAGTCGGAGTTTGAACTTAAAAATTATCTGGGCCTTACATTCCCCCCTTTTTGTGTTGGAAATCTCTAATCTTAGAGATCTGAGTTGTTGGTGGTTAGGGCCTCATATTGTTGTCGAATAATCATCAGTTTGACATTACCTATTTGGTTGCGGACGAAATCTATGACTCTATTAATTATACAGGGCCCAACAGTCACTGCGAGGAGCAGAAGTAACAGTGGTCCCGCCAGGGCCGTGAGTAAGGTAGTCAGCCAAGGTGAACGATTAAACCAAGATTCAAAAATATTTTGTTGGGCCTGGCGTTCTTTATGTCTTTGTTCTAATCTCTCTCTTAGTTTTGCCATAGACTCTTTGACAACACCTGAATGGTCTGCGTAAAAGCAACATTGTTCTTTTAAGGCTGCGCATAGTCCTCCTTCTTTGAGAAAAAGTAAATCAAGCCCGCGTCTATTTTGGAAGATCACTTCAGAAAGGGAGGTTAAAAAATTTTGAAGGGCCATGACAGATGTCTCAATAGTTTTTAAATCTTCATCAGCTCCAGCTTGTAGCTGGCTTATCTGTTGGTTACTGTGTATAATGGCTGCAGTCCCAGTGCCTATGCCAGCAGCGGCAGTTATTCCCATAATTACTGCCAAGGTGATAGAAACTGGTTGCCTTATGGGTCTGGTTTGGCCCATTATCCTGTTTTCAAATTCTGTCCCCGAATGATAGAAAACTCGGGGGAATATAGATACCATTACACAATAGTTTACAGAGGTATTAACCGTAGTAGACACACAGGGAGTTATTCCAGTGTCACATGCCCATTTTAGGCCTGTGGGGGGGTGAAGAAATATATTTGTATTTTTGATTTGGTAAATGGCCGCGCATAAGGGTTTTATATGAGTAGGGGGGGTTTCCTATACAAGTCCCATGTCCTGTTACTTCTGAGAGGGTGAGTTTATGGCTTTGATCCCAGTCACAGCCAGAGCCAGAAATACTGGTGGCATAGTCTCCATTGAGAGCAACTCCCTCATAATAGGGCGGTGAAGCTGAGAGACATAACCAACAAGATTGAGTAAGGCTGGCCTGAGTATGGTTGATGGCTGAATATGCCCCCAATATAAGATTGTATAGTCGGGCATATATTTGGTTATCTTGTTCATAAGGAACAGTGGGCACAAGTTTGGGGGTCATGAGGTGCGGCACAGCGGAGGTAGTTTTAGGCTTTGAGGTGGCTGGTAAGCCTGGGGGATTTTTCAACCAGAACAGGATTGGGTCCTATCCCAAGGGGTTCCTTGAGAACCGGTTCCTTTTTTATAAAAATTAATCCTCCTCGATCTGTTTTGTCCTCCCAATATCGGACACCCCAGGTGCGTCCGGTCATCCAACCCGGATCGTTAGGTTGGGAAATATTAATCCAGACTTCAAAACAAGGTGGGGAGCCACGGGTGATATGTCTGGTAGATCGCTCTGCCACATTGGGGGTGCACCCGTAAGGCCTTCCTAATTTAAGGAATTGGTCTCCCGAGGCACTCCAGGCGGTAGCCAGTGTCTCACAACCCCAATAAGCACAGTAATAATGTCCCGGACTGTTACAATATCCCTTTCCTGGGTTAGAGGCAGAGCACATATAAATGGAATCTGTACGTGTACAAGGAGTTATAACAGTTAACTGGCAGATGGGCACCCGAAACTGGGGAGAACCAGGTCCGGTCCATGTTTTTATCAGAGTGGTGTCTTCCCATCTTATAAGGCTCCATTTCCATGGTTGGTGGGGATTGGGGTTATTTTCTTTAATTGGGTCTTGGGCAAGTAGTCTTACGAACCCGAACCTTAAGAGGATTATCAGTCTTTTCCACAGTCCATTCATCGTCCGACGGCGGGGGAGCAGGCTTGAGATGAGATGCGTGGATCCAGGAAGCGATGCCGTCAACTTTGACTGCAGTGGGGGTAGTTAACAGTACCTGATAAGGTCCCTTCCAGCGGGGTTGAAGGGTTTCGATCTGGTGTCGGCAGATGAACACGTAGTCTCCTATATGGAAGTTATAAGGTGTTGGTCCGTCACTGGGCTGATAGGCAGCAGACAATTAACTCCACAAGACATGCTGGATCTGATCAAGCAATAAGAGTCTATCAGCTAGAGGGATCTGAGGCATTTTTAAGCCTTTAGGCCAAGGGCTGAGATCTCGAATTGGGGGTGGGGTACCATATAGGATCTCGAATGGAGTTAGGTTAGGAGGCTTAGTCATTGGAGTGTTTCTAGCCCGGAATAGGGTGTAAGGCAGGAGCATGGTCCAATCTTTAAAGCCAGTCTCTTGGACTAATTTTGTTAAGGTCTCTTTTATTGTTCTGTTCATCCTTTCTACCTGTCCTGAACTTTAGGGTCTATAGGTACAATGAAATTTCCAATCAATCCCCATCACTTTGGCTACTCCCTGACTTACCTGTGCCACGAATGCCGGCCCATTGTCTGACCCAATTACCTTTGGCATGCCAAACCGAGGAAAAATCTCTTCCATCAACTTTTTGACCACTACTTGTGCCGTTTCCCGCTTGGTGGGAAAGGCCTCAGTTCATCCTGAAAAAGTGTCTACAAACACTAGTAAATATTTGAGTCCATATTTAATGGGTTTTATTTCAGTGAAATCTATTTCCCAATGTTGTCCGGGCCGTTCTCCCTATAGTCTCGTTCCTTTTACAGATTTAGAGGGATGTGAATTAATGAGCTGACAAGTTTTACAGTTCTCAACAATTTGTTTGGCCAGTTTATAGATTTTGGATAGCAGGAGCTCACTGGTGTTTTGATGTTGGGCCAGGAGGCAAAGCTTTTTGATGCCCAAATGAGTTAACTTATGAACCTGTTGGAAGTAAGTTTGGAGCTCTGGTTCCTCCATTAGGTGGGGCGGTATAGGCAGTTCAGGTGGCTCGGCTGTCTCTAGGGTTAGGACAGTAGGAGTGTCTAGGGCCGCTTGTCTAGCAGCTTTATCAGCATGGTTGTTTCCTTTTTTTTTTTTTTTTAAATACTAGTGATGGGGCCGGGCAGATGGCTCAGTGGAATAAGCGCTTCCCTGGCGAGCTCAAGGACCTGAGTTCAATCCCCGGTTCCACTAAAAAAAAAAAAACAACTAGTGACTTTATTTTTTTTTCAAAGTTTTATTGATAAACAGCAATGAGACAGTTTCAAATCAAATTGGAAGTACAGTTTCAACACATAATACACTGGATATATTCTTCTTAGTGGTTAATTGCTGTACAAGAT